GGATATATATATTGAAGCTGGAGCTATATGCACTAGAATATTTTTAAAAGGGTATATATTAACCGTTTTATCAGAAGGGGAGTTGCAATGGTTGGACACATTCCTTAAAAAAGATATTTTGGTTTAGTAAGTAACATTTGTAATCATGTCATAAATTTGCTCATCTTTGCTATGTACAGGACACACTAAGTACAGTACTTACTTCCAAAATCAATTATTGAAACGTGTTTGATCTTTTACGTGACATACTTTAAAAAACAAAATCACAAAGCCCCTGACACTACAATTTACTAATAGTTTTCCCTTGAAGATGTTTTTAATGTGTGCTTATTAATAATTTATTTAAAAAATATATATTTAGATTATAAATTTAACTGAGAAATTTCTATACAAGTTAGGCTAATTAAATTAACATTACAAACTCTTATTTTGTCTCTTCAGAAGTAAGTAGGAAGATGAGAGGAAAGAGTACCTCTTCTAAAAACTATGAATAGATAATAGTCATTTAGTTTGAAAGAGCATGTTCTCTCGTTGTGGAACATTTTCTAGACTTGCTATTAAGTCTAACAGCGAGACATACTGCAATTTTCAGAAAGTTTCTAATCCATACATCTCCTGCCAAGTTAAAAAAAAAACTAAATAATAATAAAAAAATGAAATTCTGTTGAATAGAAAAAGAGTGCCATTTTATCTGCAATTTTTATTTAGTTATTAAAGTATGACAGTCAGGGCTGCCATCAGAAATCTAAGAGCCCCTCAAAAAAATCTTGTCCAGGTTCTCACCTTGATGCACACTCCTTGCCACACACACAGATATATACACATAAATGGTCATATACACACACCCTTTTAGAATACGCACTGCTAGACACAAATACACAATGTCATGAACACACACACGGTACATCCACTGGTACACTGTGTTAGAAACACATACACAGGTTCCTGTTGTCAGATACACATGCCAAACACAGAGGCGCACACACACAGAATCAAACAGACTCACAGTTGGATATTACAGTTCAAAGATAACAATGAAAAGTTGGTTTCCAGTAGGGATGTGCATGGGGAAAATTTTCGGTTTGGTTCGGCATTCCGAAATTCGGGACTTCGGCAATTCAGAACTTTGGGACTTCGCCACTTCAGTTCGGCACTTCGACACTTCGGAATTTCAGCACTTTGGAATTTCAGAACTTCTGCATTTCGGGAGTTAGGCACTTCGGGACTTCACTTGCAGCCACTTAGTAGATAACTCCCTAATTCAAACGGTATTAGGGAGTTGTCTACCAAAAGGCTGAAAGACCTAAATTGGTCTTGCAGCCAAATTTACTAATACTAAGTAAAAATTACTTAGTATTAGTAAATTCTGCCCCTACTCGCTATACCGCGAGTAGGGGCATGTTTATTAAATTTTTTTGTTAAAAAAAACAAGTGTACCCCCGCGCGAGTGGGGGCTTTTAAACTGAAGGGGGGACCTATTGCCCCCCAGGCCCACACCCCTGAGCAGTGGGTGGGGCCCTAAATCAGAAAAACGGCAGGTGGGGGTCCTAATGCTGGAGGGAGGACAATAGGTCTCCCCCACTTATTTTACATTAGGGCCCCCACCCCTGAACCCCTTACATTTTTATTTAGGGCCCCTTTATTCTAATTTAGGGCCCCCACCCGCCGCCCTAAATTACCTAAATTATTGTCCTCCCCCGGCCCCCACCCCTGAGCAGTGGGTGGGGACCCTAAATTACTTCAGGAGGGACCTATTGTCTGACCCCACCCCTGAGCGGTGGGTGGAGGCCCTAAAGTAAAATAATGGAGGGGGTACCTATTGTCCTCCCCCAGCCCCCACCCATGAGCGGCAGGTGGGGGCCCTAAATTAGAATAAGGGGGCCCTAAATAAAAATGTAACCCCCCCAAAATGCACTCTCCACCCCCAGTCTCCTCCCCTCCAAGCCTTATAAAGGGCAACTCCACCCTGAGCTCCCCAGTATTTACCTGTCCTCGAGAGAGAGACAGGTCAGTTAGCAGAGCTCTGCCTTCCCTTTGCAGAAATGGTGAAGTTATTCACCTTTTTTTGTGTTTTGGATAGACGTGGTGAGGGGGCTGCGGCTCCTGGAGGGCTCTGTCTTGATTTTGAAGGTTTGCTTAGCCAGTGCTCTGGTCCTTCAATTATCAGATTATGTAAACACATGACCGGCTCCTGTGTTTCACTCCTTTATCATTCCGCCCAATCCGTACCGGGTGACAGAAGAGGCGAAGGTGCGTCTGTACGCACAGCTGGGAGGCTCCATATGTGGACAACACACTGGGGTGTTGTTGCATTACACTTATGAATCACAGAGTGCTATGCAAGTGCACAAAGCTATCTCAGCACCTGGTGAGAATCTGGAGCCTAATGGCAAGAAAATGAAACCCAGCAGTGACGATCTGGCCACCAGGTGTGTTTCAGATTTGTTACCAGTGTGCTCTCACCAGCCCTCCAGCACACCAGAGGCTTTTTAAGGTGAGACAAGTAGCTTTCATCTTAATAATCTTTTTTCCTAAATAAGCCTACGGCCTTACCAGTCTGATGGAGACCAACTAGGAACCTCAAGTGTCGTAAGTTTAAAAAAAAAAATTCCTCATAGTCTCGTCTTCCATATAGAAGGCACAAGCACGTTTAAGGTAAGAACATATTGGTTTATTTTTCAGCAAGCTTGGGTTTCCTATAATGCCTATGAAAGTCGACCTCATTGAACACACGTATAGGTTGTCTGTGTCAACGATAACAGAAAAGGAATGTACACACAGGTTGTGATTCATCTCCTCTACCAGCAAATGCATGTGCACATTTCTTCTTCTGTTTTGGTGAAAAATTACCCACCTATGTACTGCTTAACTGGCTGTTGGTGTGCAATGTACAGCCTAAATGCCTATTTGTGTGCAATGCTCAGGCTCACCTACGTACAGCCTAAATGCATGTTTGTGTGCAATGTTCAGACCACTTATGTACAGCCTAATGGCTTATTTGTGTGCAATGCTCAGGCCCTCCTATGTACAGCACCACTGCATGTTTGTGGGCAGTGCTCAGACCACCTATGTACATCTTAACTGCATGTCTGTGGCCAGTGTTCAGACCACTTATATATAGCCTAAATGACTATTTGTGTGCAATGCTCAGGCTCGCCTATGTACAGCCTAAATGCATGTTTGTGTGCAATGTTCAGACCACTTATGTACAGCCTAATGGCTTATTTGTGTGCAATGCTCAGGCCCTCCTATGTACAGCACCACTGCATGTTTGTGGGCAGTGCTCAGACCACCTATGTACATCTTAACTGCATGTCTGTGGCCAGTGTTCAGACCACTTATATATAGCCTAAATGACTATTTGTGTGCAATGCTCAGGCTCGCCTATGTACAGCCTAAATGCATGTTTGTGTGCAATGTTCAGACCACTTATGTACAGCCTAATGGCTTATTTGTGTGCAATGCTCAGGCCCTTCTATGTACAGCGCCACTGCATGTTTGTGGGCAGTGCTCAGACCACCTATGTACAGCCTAAATGCATGTTTGTGGGCATTGTTCAGACCACTTATATACAGCCTAATTGTGTGCAATGCTCAGGCCCAATAATGTACAGCCTAAATGCTTGTTTGTGGGCATTGTTCAGACCACTTATGTACAGCCTAATTGCCTTTTTGTGTGCAATGCTCAGGCATTCCTATGTACAGCCTAACTGCATGATTATGGGCATTGTTAAGACCGCTTATGCATGGCATTGTTGCCTATTTGTGTGCAATGCTCTGGCCCTCCTATGTACAGCCTAACTACATGTTTGTAGGCAGTGTTCACACCATTATATGTACAACCTACCTGCATGTCTGTGGGAAGTGTTCAGACCAGCTATGTACAACCTAAATGCGTGTCTGTGCATACAATTGTTTCGGTTAAAGCACTGGTGCAATCTATTAAGGTATATACATACTGGGTGTATGTGAATTTTTCCATCAGGGATAATTCTCCCAAAGATTCAATTGCAATTATGTATATAGTGCCAACATATTCTGTGATGCTGTGCAATAAGTTAACTAACACAAAAATGTTTAAAAAACCTGTTTTGACATACAGTTTGGTAGGTGAAGAGGTACCTACCCAAATAAGCCTATTGTCTAAAAGATTGTTTTTTTGTTTGTGTCATGCCAAAAGCATGAGTTGGTGTTTGATGTGTGTTTATATATGTTAAGAGTAGTTTTTTTTGTAAACCTTGGGATGACATTTATTGTGGTCTTTGATCTTGCACCAGGCCTAGACCATAAAACATCTAGATAGCCATCACCAGAGCTGGACACAAGGAATTTCATAGAGTGGGCAATAGACTGCCAGACCAGCCCCCTCTGATCCCCCCCAGGGGTCTGCCCACTGAGAAACAACTAGTTTAGATATATGAGGGTGTTGGACTATCCAGGGAAGTCAGTTATTCATTTTTCTTTTGTCAGTAACTTCTAGGAGATCTATACCATCTAAGACTCCCACAAGAATTCTATATGGGGTAAATATATGTAAGGAATTTCTTGTGTTTTCTCCTATTTTATTTTATGTACTGTTTTGCAATTTGTTTTCTGTATGTCATTTATTTCTGTATTTTGTACTCAGCACTGTGAATCCTTTTTGTCAGATTAAATGTTTACTTAATCAGCTTGTGTCTCTGTTCTCTATGAGCTTCACTCTCCAGAGGAAAGCTCAGGTAAACACGTTACCAAAAAGGGTTAACTATATATGTTTTATCAGTAAAAGTAGAACTGTGATACTATAATTCTCCTGTGTGTGGGGTAACCTAAGACGCCCGGGTTTAAAAGTCTTGGTGGTGGCAGTAGTACTAAGGGGGATAGTGTAGAAGGGATTGCAGGGGTTAATTGAGTGGTTGCTGGGACTAGCAACAAGTAACCAGGGGTCTGGTGTCATTAACCCTGTCACTTCCACACTCTCCCCACTGTCTCGGCTGGGCCTATAGCCCACGCACGTGACAGTTTGTTTGTTTTTTTCTCTTGACAAAGTGAATTCCTCAACAGTGTTACCATTATCATGGTTGTTTTAACTGTTTGCTACAAATATAAATTACTGGTGGAATTTTATTCTAACCTGTGGTTCTCCTCAGTTTTGTCCGATTAGTATCAGGTCCCTGCTATCTGTGCAGGAAAGGGTTTAATGTGGTAAAATATAATTTACCCTTGAGATTATAACTCCAATAACATATGATCCAGAGATGTAGAGGAGTTGTTAGACTGAGATGTTACCGTGCTATAAATCATCTAAATTTGGACCAAGTTTTTCTATTTATGAAAGGTCGATCTTAAACCGAATTCCAGGGCTTTTATGGATGAAGGGTTTTTTTCTGGTCTTATAAGGGTTAAATTGTCAGCTACTAATACAGTTGAGATACACCTACATTTAATTGATTTGTACGATTCGGGTCAGGTGAAGAACAAGGGTTCTGGTACTAAGCTGTCTCAGTCATTCTCTTTCTTTTGTATGACTTAACAAGTCAGTCTCTGAGCATTCAAGCATCACCTTGTGAGCCCTTTTGTGGATTTCTAAGTTCCATCTTAGCTGTGAGTGGGGTAATAGGTATAGTTCCTTCCTTGAACCAATCAAGTTTTAATTATGTTTCTTTTCCTAAGTTTATATTTTAAACTATACATATAACCGTTTTAAGATGTGTATTCCTGTCTAGTATGGAACACAGACTTGCTGGTATTAGAAATTCACAGCTTTTTATTTTTACTTTATGTCCGTAATGAACATTTTGTTTTCCTTGTTTCTTTTAATACCTTCCACTCACCTGGGTCAAGTATGGCCATGTTTCTCACTTCTGTGAGTTGGGCTAAGACTGGAATATTAACTTCCCATTTGTACCCCTTTAATAGGTTAATTGGTATTTTATCAAACCAGGTTTCAGTATTTTCATGGTTTGATTTTTCTCATTTATTTATTGAAATACCCGGTCTTACACCACAAGGGTCTACTGCATAGCCCAGCAGGGTTATTATAGGTGTCGCTGAAGTAGCTAGTCCAGAACTATGCTTTTTAAAATAAGCTCAAATGACCACCATATATGTGGACAGTTTTATTTATGATTAGAGTTGAGCGGACACCTGGATGTTCGGGTTCGGACGAAATTCGGAAAAAAGTCCGGGTTTGGTATCGAACTTGACTCCGAACCCCATTGAAGTCAAAAGGGACCCGGACTTTTGGGCACAAAAATGGCTCTAAAAATGTCCTGGAAAGGGTAAGAGTAGGACAAGTGCCCTGCAAACAAATGTGGATAGGGAAATCACTTAACATAAAAATTAAAAATAATCCAATCCTATTCATTGCCGCGGCTGCATCTTGCAGCCGCTTAGTAGATAGCTCAATAATTCCCACGGTATCAGGGAGCTATCTACCAAAAGGCTGAAAGACCTAAATTTGTCTTTCAGTCAAATTTACAAATACTAAGTAAAGATTACCGCGAGTAGGGGCATGTCTATTAGGCAGTGAGTAGCCTGTGGCTGCTCACTGTAAAAAAACGAAACAAAAATCTATTACCCCCACCCCTGTGCAACGGGTGGGGGCCCTAAATAAGAATGTGGAGGGGGGACCTACTGTCCTCACCCCCCGGCCCCCACTCCTGAGTGGTGGGTGGGGGCCATAAATAAAAATTGTGGGGGACCTAATGTCCTCCCTCCCTGGCCCTCACCCCTGAGCGGTGGGTGGGGGCCATAAATAAAAATGTAACCCCCCCAGGTGACCCCAAACCCCTAGTCTCCCCCCTACCCCCTTCATCTTAAAAATAATGAGGGGACCCTTATCTAAATACCTGCAAAAAAAAAAAAAAAATACTTACCATTTGATGTCTTCTTTCTTCTAACCTCTTCTTTTTTCAGCCCCCAAAAAGGCCAAATAAAAATCCATAATAACCGATGCAAAAAAAAACACAATCCATTTTCACCCATGGAGGGCTCCGCACAGACTGAGCTCTGCAGGGCGGGGGAAGGCTTATAAACCACCAGTGAAAATATGGATAATGAGCAATTTCCCTTTCTCTATTCTGAAAACTGGAGAGAGTATAAGATTCCTCCAATTCTTGACTAATGTCTGTATAACTGTTTATTTCCATTTATTTGCATATTTAAATGAAAAGTGTTGTATGTCACATTTGATTTGAGCTCTGGAAGAGCTGATTACTAACTGTGTGTATTTTCTTACCCTGCATATACTAATAAAGATCTAACTTACAGTTTAATACAGTACTGGTGTTGTTCCAGAATTACTCCAGTAGGCAGTCCCATCAGCTGGGGATGGTATACTTTGTGATTCAGGAGCCATAATCCACAGTGGGTGGGTTCTCTATGTGAAATTGTTCCCGCCCTGTGTTTTTATCTTGCTATATCATGCCACTTGTCATGACTGCCGCTTGGACATTTAGGAAAAACCTAAATTTTTACTTACCGTAAATTTATTTTTCCTTAGTCCAAGCGGCAGTCATACTTTCCCTCCCTTTATACTATAAAAAATGAATAAATTAATTAATAAAAGTGTAAACCTATTTCCTTCTCTTAGCTTGTTATATACTGGGGAGCTCAGGGTGGAGTTGACCTTTGTAAGGCTAGGAGGGGAGGAGACTGAGGGTGGGGACTGCATTTTGTTATTTTAACCCTTTCAATGCTACCTGTCCTGTGAGAAATGGGCAGCTATAACCCACTTGTTATGACTGCCGCTTGGACTAAGGAAAAATAACTTTATGGTAAGTAAAATTTAGGTTTTTAATTATTGCATTACTGCTTTCTGGGTTGTAATATCCACTATACATGAAAAGTTTTATAAAACAGTCATAATTTCCATATTGTCAGTTACGCTAGCTGTTGATTAAAAAATCAGGAATTAAAACAGCATAACTATTTTTGGCATCTGGGATTTTCATACAAGCTCGCGAAGTTAGAAACGGATAAACAATTCCAAGGAACTGAGAAGTCCATTTTAATTTATATTCCAAATTATGAACAACTATTTTACATATTAGAGCCATAAAAAGAAAGACATGGCTTTTAGAAACATGCAGCATATATATAATATTTACATAAAGAGAGTTTAAATTATTCCCGCCCCCCCTCCTCCCCCCAGAAAACTGTTAAAAAAAATAACAGAAGGGCAACAGGTTATTATACATCCTTTGCTTGTCTAAATGCTCCACAAAAATAAATATTTATAAATTAATTTAAAATAACATATATATGTAAGATATATCAGGGCAAATAAAATTATAAATATACAGCATCTCTAACTTTTAAACTGAAATTGTTGAAAGGTTTATTTAAATGAAATGTTAAATACATTTACAGCTTTAAATGTGACCAAAAGATACTAAATGATGTGTTAAGCCAAGTTGGCCCAGTTCATTAGAATAGCATAAGTATTCTACTATTTAAAGTGTACATTTCCTACACATAATGACCTTGCTTACTTTAGTCTATTGCAATGGCAGAAGTATTAAAGTCCACCAATTTTAAAAGGGAAAACTTACTTAAATCAGTGGTACTATCCCACTGTACCTGCAGTGGCAGCAGTATAGAAATTAAAACAATGATAGTGTACTGACTGTAATCAGATCAGACACATGTAATCTCAATGAATTTCATAAACTAGTATTTCATAAAATAACATAAAATAAGATTAAATGACAATGTTGTTTATACATAAATATATCAATGTTGTTTATATATATATATATATATATATATATATATATATATATATATATATATAGACTAGGCAATAAGAACATTTACATGCTGTGATAGGCTGCATTCAGCAGCCTGCTGTCTCAGAGACATATTCTACAATACCTCAATATTGGTGCATCCTACACTAATCCCAGTGGGAGATAGTGCTAATGCTGAAAGAGGCTAATTTTAATAATATGTTGTAAGAGAATTGTAAATATATATATATATATATATATATATATATATATATATATATATATCTCAAAATTAATGTGATATTACAAAGCCTGCAATATTCTAAACAGACATCAAAATTTAAAAAAGGAAAAATATTAATGCATAATATTTTTCTTAAGAAACAAAAAAATGCAGTGTCAATTAAAGTGATAATGCTCTGATATATTATATCACATTGCATATCACATATCTGCTATATGAAAAGTATAATTAAAGTGACATTAGTGTCCAAAGCTCCCTCACATCTGTTTTACTTTTCTGTGGTCACCTCCAAAGGGGCCTCTGAAACTGTGGGGCTGAGATGGGTGCTCAGACTTAAAGAAAAAAAAAATAGAAAATGGATCATGGGAACACCCAGAACATGCATGTTTGTATATAATCTTAATTTATAGATAATATATGCCTTAAAGACATAAAAAGGATTAAAAAAATATGCAGGTATCTTTAAAAGTAAATCAATGTAAAAAAGAAAAGAAAAGAAATGTGTTAAACAGATTCAAGTACAAGTACTTATGAACTTTACAGAATCCGTTTACAACAGGCAGGTTTAGTATAAATGCAAAGTTGTTTTTTTCATTGATTATTGGCCAAGAAATCTCTGAACATATTCAGCATTTTTGTGAGCAGCAGAACTTTATTTATCTAACAAGTAAAGACAGCATATTGCAATGAACACCATTACAATATTGCTTTGCTGTTTGAGGTCAGAGCTTTAAAGAATAAAGAAATACATATTCTATAGCTCGCTAGACCACTGGCTTTTAATGAACAGTTGGCACAACACTTTTCAAATAGTTTGTTATACTGCACATTATAGCTGTGACAAAATAATATACAGGGTAAAAATGTTTAATAGTCTTACCCAGTATTTAAGGATGACAAGTTTCTGGCAAAGTTATCAGGACGTATATATATCTATTTATATATATATAAAAATCATTTAAAAAATGATATATATATACACATAATTAGGCCATTTTATTAATTACAATTTGCCTGACAGCCAGGCTGAAGGTCCAGGGAATTTAATTTGCTAGCACTATATTTAACCCTGTAACTTTCCAAGACACCATAAAACCTGTACATAGGGGGAGGGGGGTACTGTTTTACTCAGAAGACTTCGCTGAACACGCACAAATGGCACTTACACTGACGATATAATTGTTGTGATATGTTTTACTGTTTTGAAATTCTAATATTTGTGTTCAGCAAAGTCTCCCGAGTATAACAGTACCCCCCGTGTACAGGTTTTATGGTGTTTTCAAAAGTCAAATATAAGGCTTGCGTTTCAGTTTTCACATTAAAATTCGCCAGGTTGGTTTTGTTGCCTTTGAGACCGTATGGTAGCTTAGGAATGAAAATTACCCCAATGATGGCATACCATTTGCAATAGTAGACAACCCAATGTATTGCAAATGGAGTATGTTCAGTCTTTTTTACAAGCCACTTACTCACAAACACTGGCCAAAACTGGCATTCAAATTAGTTTTTTGCATTTTTCAAACACAAACAAATATTAACACTAACTTTGGCCAGTGTTTGTGACCAAGTGGCTACTAAAAAAGACTGGGCATACCCCATTTGCAATACCTTGGGTTGTCTACTATTGCAAATTGTATGCCATCATGGGGGTAATTCTCATTCCTGGGCTACTATACGGTCTCAAAAGCAACGTAACCAATCTGGCGAATATGAATGTGAAAAAACTGAAAAATGTAACATGCTATATTTGACCCTGTAACTTCCCAAAACACCATAAAACCTGTACAAAAGGGGTATTGTTTTACATGTGAGACATCGCTGAATACAAATATGTGTAAAAGCAAACATTATTATGACATTCATATTTAAAAAAAAATACAAAATTTCTTATTTTCTCCCATTATTTTTATATTTTATTCATATTACACTATTTTCCATAGCTAAATATTTGATGTTAAACGAAAGCCCTGTTTCCCCTGAATAAAATGATATATAAGAAGTGTGGGTGAACTTAATATGAAAGAAGTGAATTACGATTGAACAGACCTATTGTCAAATTCCAGGTTTTGTTTCCGTTTCGTTTTGATCACAACGTGTACATTTGGCTCAGTCTTTAAGGGGTTAATTATTGAACAAACTTGACTATTTGATTGTACAGCTAAAATGATTCAACAAAATGTTAAATATCCACTTTAAAACTTTTGCTACACTTGAATTGGACCTTTTTTCCATCTAAAAAATCAATGATTTACAGATGTTTGATGGATGAGAAGAGTATTCATTTCTCAATTTCACACTGACCTTTAAAATGTCCAAATTCAATTTTTAAGATTGCTTTTGGCTTGACATTATAAAGATCAAAATTACTGGGGAGTACAAGCTGTGGGTGGCAGAGGAGGGTCCATAATGGATTGCATACACTGCTCTTAAACTGCAAGACGTGCTATTGAGAATTAAATCGAAGTATACCGTTTTTATTATATTATACTGAGTTTTTCTGTTTAATTAATCACATAGTAAGCTAAGCTGTAGTGAAAATCTAAGAAACATCAGCTTATACTATATAAAGCCCATCAATTTAAAATGATTATCATAGTTTTTACTGAAGCCTCCTATAGCTAAAACCAGCTCTTACATTATTCTTTATTATCTTTAATGTCTGACCAGTGACCAGAAACCAGCCAATGGTCCATTTGACTAAAAACCCATGCTTTGGTTTAAAAAAAACAAACACAAAAATCACATTGTGTTTAATACAGTTTTCGGTTGCAAAGAGTACCTGCAGAAAAGTGAAGTGTGAAATTCTATGCCTATCTGTGCTCAATTACATGTTGCGCTAAGAATTCTGGGATAGTTGTAGAAACATAGTTTCTCTGAAGTTCTGTGCTCAAGTCCAAAAGGATTAGTAGGTATACTGTATGTATTTAAATATATCTAATTATCTGTGGAAACATGGTTGTTAGCATGGCAATAATTTAATCTAAAAACCTTCAAAGTGCCATTGGGAAGAAGATTGGAATCAACACTATTTTTACTTTAATTCTGCATTTATTGTTCTTACTGATAGCTAAGTCAAGCGAGAAAGAAAGATTGAGCTATATCTATGCCTGCAGTGCTGCATAACACACATCCACATATTTATTTTTATAGTTATTCAATTTGCATCTGCAAATCCAGTAAATTTTTATTGAATATTATGTAAAGTTCATGTTGCAAGGAATGATTTTATTGGAAATTAATAATAGTGGTTGTCTTCACTGTACCTTATCACTCAGCGTAATACAATGTCTATAAGTACTTTTTTGAAAATGTGTTTAAATGCATTCAAAAGCCCTCAATTTTCTCTATGCTTAGAAACAACTAAAAAGCTATCTTAAATCATATTTGCAACCACTTTTTAATATTAGTGGCACTTATAAAAAGCAACAATGTAGGCATGGTTAGGACATTGAGCTGTATCGCAGCTTAGGATAGTAGTTCCCTCTCTTACCCTTACCCATCCAAAATATTGCCAACTGGGACACAAGTTTATACCAACACTGGCATCCAAACCACAAAAAAAAGAAAAAAAAGGCAGATATTCATCCCTTGCCATACTGCTTGCCCCAGTGTGCAGGCATCAGGCCTTCAGTCAAAATGGCATCCACGACAAGGAGTTTCAACGACACCCTCCAGAGGCACGATCCGAGGGCCCAATCTCTATTTCAGAAGAGCAGAAAACATTCTCCAGCAGATTGGAGAATTGAAGAGTTTACATGGCACAGGAGATCTCTTGAAGGTCCACAGAGATAAAAACATTAAACCTGCACTGTGGTTTACTGAACGGCAGAGCTAAAAAGCAGTATGGAAAAAATACCAGGAAGGCCTCAAGTGTCTAGACAAAGGATGTCTACATGCTGCAAGCGGCAACCGACCATCAAGCCCTCCTGCCCCCCCGCCCTACTCACGAGAAAAACTCTGGCATGGGGAGTAACCAAGTTAGTGGCCCAGAGATGCTGGCCTATACATCAGCTTGGGGCTGGAGGAATGCCCTACCTCACACCTGCCCCTCAGCAGTCTTCCGTTATCCACCTACAGGCTCCAGCTGCCTCCCCATACTGGAAAATGGATGATGGAAACTTCTGCAAATATATTGTATTATGTCTTTGGTGCCCACTCTAATGTTTTATTTCCTTTCGACATGTTGTCTTATTTAATTTTTGTTTCTTATATGAAGTTTAGAGTGCTCTCTTGACAAGACTTCCAGTTCCAGCTGACAGTTTTTTCTCAAACTGAGCATGCAGTCTAAGGCTGTAGCTTGTCATGTTTCTTTATCTCTCTCGTTCCTCATAGTTAAACCCTATAATGACCAGCCTCGTTTATCAAGCTAGCTTTCATTATACTATTCCCTTAAAATGTGCAGATATGGCAAATGCATTCTTCTTGTTTACTCATCTTATCTAAAATGCTTAGTTACGCTGTTGTGGCATGGTAAGCCTACTTGTAATCTCACGCACGACAAAAATAAAGATTTTTTTTTTTTTAAATACATAGATTGAACAAAGATAATGCTTATTGTGACCTATTTAGCATACTGCACTGCATATTTAATTACATTTGTTTTTTATTTGATGCCAAAATACCAGAGTATTGCAGTATGCAATGATACCTTTCTTATAGGACAAGCTTTCGAGAGTTTTCCTTTTTTCTTCAGGTCCGAAATTGACACAGGTTGAAAATGAACAATTTTAAGTTAAATTTTAAAAAAATATTTGGATATTCCACTTATACACTTTGTGTGTGTTATTGTTGAAAAGGATGACAAGTGCTTTTGTGAAGGAAGAAACGAGTAGTAGGAGATCGTCAGTTTCATCACTAAACCATTAGCTTCTGGGAGAGTTTGTCATAATAAATATAATAGAGGAGAAAAGAGAATTATGAGATGTAGTTTTCGAAGAATTAAAAAGGGAAGTGAGTGTATGCTGCATGTTTGGAGAGTATTGCTATATATGAGTTTGTCTTGCGCTCAATGTGAATATAATGTGAATATGGATTGTTGTAAACTGTACAAACATATATATATATATATATATATATATATATATATATATATATATATACAGTGTCAGTACAAACCTTTAGGTGACAGCTTATTCATTGCAGAAATATACAACAGACAAGAGGTCATCTATTGAGACTTGAAGAAAGGCTTACAGTACAGGAAGTAGTTCTTTACAGAGAGAACAATAAAAATGTGGAATTCTGGTTGTGTTATCAAATTCTGTAGATATATATAAAAAAAAAAGACCCGGATGTTGGAAAAGCAGAATATTCAAGGATGTATTTTACATATACATGGGTTGTAGATCCAAGGTTGTTGATGAAGAAGAAATATGTCTGCCATTGTGTAGTCAAGAAGGACTTTTTTTCTCCCTTTTTGTGACATAATTGATCATCTCTTTAAAAAAGTGCTAGCCTTCTTTTGAACCGACTGCATATAAAAATGTGTTTTAAAGGTTGATTGAACTGAATAGACTTGAGTGGTTTTTTTTTCAACCTACATTACTATGTCTTGATGCATGCTTGGGGGGTTCAAATGTGTGTGTTGATATGCATTATTTTGTATAGGTGTGTCTATGTCCTTGTTTGACTGTGAGGGGATGTTGTGCATTATGTATATAAGACTATGATCACAATCTGCATATGGTTGTCCTACTGTTGGGGTAATTTTGTTGTACTGAAATGCAAGCTTTTGTATATGCATAGACGTTATACATTGATTTTGTGTGGGTAGATGCCGTTGTTGTAAGTGTATGTAGGTGTAGGAATGGGGGTTCAAGACCATCACAGAGTAAATAATATATTTGATTGATACATCAATGTACTTACACATTAGAGTGTATCTGACAACAGGGCATTCCTGTCCAGCAGCCGTTACAGAATATACTATTGTCATTTTTATAACTAGGAATCTGCCTGGTTTGACTTTGAGGGATCTTTGTTCTTCAGATATAAAGTCAAATATAAAATCTATGAATTTTAACATAGAACTTCAATGTTCTTTGAGCATCAGCTTGCACCAAAAATAATTATTGTCAGCTCTGAATGTGTAAATGCCAATATAAATCTACTCAAAAGCCAACAGTGAATTTCTTCAGTTTCCCACGGTCACTCCTGGTTGCATTCTGAATATTATTCCTAATAAAATTCTGTATAATATAATCATAAATATTCACTTTTATCCGTCTGTTTTTTTACACTGTATTCATATTATGTTAACTGAAACATTTAATTGCTTGGACTAAAAGGCAGTCCATTTGCTTAAAGGATGAGTATGACAATCCTCCCACCGTTCAGCTCTGATTCCAACACACTGCTATTATTCTAGGTTCACACTCCTCACACTGAATTTGGGAAGCACTGCCTTCCTTTCACATACAACATCTCGCACACACACACATTCTCATTCAGACACACATACATACACTCTATATTCTCAAATACACAGATATAAAAATTTCATTACTCGCACACATTTTCATAGGCACACACAGGGGCGTATTAGCCGCGAGGCAAACAAGGCATTTGCCTTGGGCGTCATTTTTCAGGGGGCGGCAAAAAATGCCGCCCACAAATGCCCAGGGCAAATGCCTTGTTAGCCTCGCGGCTAACAGACATGCCGGGCGCTGGGTGGGCAGCTGGCGAGGGAGCACTTCCTGTGAGCTGTCTGCTCAGCTCCCTCGCGAGCCGCAGAGTGAGGCTGGGAGCCGGAAGATGACGTCATATTCCGGCTCCCAACCTCACACTGCGGCGCGCAAGGGAGCTGAGCAGTCAGCTCAGAGGAAGAGCTCCCTCGCCAGTGCCGCCCGCCTGCCAGCCCGACCGGCAGCCACTGGACCACCAGGGAGAAAGAGGAACCCCCCTCCCCCAGCACTCCCAAAGGTAAGGAGGCTGGGGGGGGGGTTAAATCAAAATAAAACTGTTTTTGATGTGAGTGTGTGTTTGTGTCTGACTGTGTGTGTGTGTGTCTAACTGTGTGTGTTTGTGTCTGACTGTGTATTTGTGTCTGACTGTGTGTGTGTGTGTGTTTGTGTGTGTGTTTGTGTCTGACTGTCTGTCTGACTGTGTGTGTGTGTTTGTTTCTGACTGTGTGTGTGTGTGTGCCTGACTGTGTGTGTGTGTGTGCCTGACTGTGTGTGTGTGTGTGTGTGCCTGACTGTGAGTTTGTGTCTGACTGTGTGTGTTTGTGTCTGACTGTGTGTTTGTGTCTGACTGTGTTTGTGTGTGTGTTTGTGTCTGACTGTGTGTGTGTATGCCTGACTGTGTGTGTTTCTGACTGTGTGTGTGTTTGTGTCTGTGTGTGTGTGTCTGACTGTTTGTGCCTGTCTGTGTGTTTGTGTTTGACTGTGTGTGTGTGTCTGACTGTGTGTGTGTGTGTGTGTGTGTATTTAGAAGTTGGGGCGGGGGGAAGGGTTGGGTGGGGGTGGCACGGGGGAGGGGGGTGTCTGAGTTTTGTCCTGCCTAGGGCAGCACAAAACCAGGATACACCACTGGGCACACATAATTATACACACAAACTCATGCACACATACATACTCCCTCTCCACACTCACACACACACACATGCACTCTTAAGTTCTTACGTTAATAAAATGATGGCAAGTCCAACAATGATTAGGTTTACTCACACACCTTCTCATAGGCAAACATAATTATACACACAAACTCATGCACACATACATATTCATTCACACTTACATCCCCCCTCTACACAAAAACACAAACACACACACACACAATTTGTCATACATACACATTCTAACAAGCACTCTTATGTTTTTACATTAACAAAATGATGGCAAATTCGGCAGTGATTACGTTTAAGTTTTTAAAGCTTCTATTTCTAATATATCACCTCAGACACTTAATTAGGTGGTGTCTAAGGCCCCACATTTGCTGATACTTCACCGTGACCTTGCTTAGTGGTCCATCGGTCCCGAACCATTGGTCGTGAGTGGACCCGGTGGTTTGTCAAGTGTTGGGTGCGGTCCCTTTCACTCAGTCTACTCAGAGAGGGAAAGAGAGCCTAACAGCCTCTGGTTGTAGCTCTGCCAGATGCAGAGTTGAAGTTGCACCTTGAAGTTGTTGTCAGCGAGCTCCAGGTAATCAGACAGTTGCTGTGGGTTACCTTTACTCACCCTATCACACTCCACAAATAAAGACTGTCATCATATACACACAATCATGAAACAAAGCTTTACTATTAACACAATGCACTGCCCCTCATACATACAACACAATTAATGCAGCTTCCCATGCACATACAGCCCCAGGCACCAACATACACATGCTCACAGAGACATACAATCACACATAAGTATACTCACAATCTGACTCATACGTTTAGGCACATACACAGGTAGACAATGCCATAAACACTCAGAAATACACACAACTAGATACACATTGTGACTATGTCTTTATTTGTCACAGTGTGTGTCTATCAGTGTGTGTGTTTGTGCATGTATTTGTGTGTATGTGTGTGCATGTAACACTGTGTTTATGTGTGCATTTATTAGTGTATATCTATGGCTGCAATGTGAGGGTGGAATGGCAATGAAAATGTAATATGGCAACATATATGAAACTTAGAAGACTGCACTAACCTGAACATGAATACATTATAGGGTGCTGCTGGGGCCTATTTAGCCTTGACCTGCAGAGAGTCCCAGGAGTATTTCCCAAGTAAGTGGGTTACTCTCATAAGAGCAGACATTGGGCCTCTATATTGGGTACATTGATGTTGTGGCAGGCTTATGCAATGTATGATCATATATTGTAACTAAACTCCTGTTATTTTTTGCCTAGGTGAGATGTGTTTAAATAAAACCATCATATTCTGTGAGATTTAAAATTGCTGTTTAGTGAATGAGCAGTGTGCTGGATTGTGAATGTTATATCTACAAATATATCCATCTTCTAGGCTGTGCAACCACACTCCAGAATCGTGCATAAACGATTAGCAGAAATTCAAACTGAATTTGGTTTTTTGCAAACTAATTTTGTTTTCAAATAATGCCATAACTGCAGTCAGAGAGCCATGACAGTGCAAGCCTCTGAACGATGAACACAGAAGTTATTCTCTCTATTCACAGTTGCAAGCCTTCCATTCAATATAACTACATGTTAGTGAGGGCCTCATGTTTGAGTTTCACCTAAGGCCTTTCGAAGTCTAGAGCCGCCACTGAGAAGGAATATAAATTCTAATACATATAGCTATTACTGGTGGAGTAGAATTTAGGATATAGATAATTTGTTGACTGTTTTAGGAAACAAAAATACCCGTTAGTAAAGATTTGTGCCTAGTATAGAAAATAAATGGTTCTACCAGTATCTCTATAGGCAAGAATCACTTTACTATTTAAGGATAATATGTTAAAGAATTAACCAATATATTAAGAGGTTTAAAATATGTGTAGCTAAGGGATTTGAAGACTTTGATGATCATTGGGGAGAAGATCAGA